AGGGGCCACGTGGCTTGAAACCTAGTCTTCGAGAACTTGTCGAAAATTTGATATGTTGAGATTTGACTTGTTCGGAACTTGAATCTTGGGGGCTTGAACTTGAACGTGAATTTGATTTGATGAAGACTTTTATCTTCTCGGATTTGGCGTGAACCTGTTTGATTTGAAGAAAATTTTAATCTTCTTGGGGTTCACCGATTTGGATTTAAGAAGAATTCTTCTCTTCCTTCGGTCTTGGAATTTCTCCATCACTTCGTGGTTGCATTCTCTCCTTTCTTTCTTGCTTTCCTTCACCTCTTGTGCCTCTTCCCCTTTCTTATGAATCCTTGGTCCTATTTATAGGGGAGAATTCGTGCTAATTTTGGTAATCACTCAATTAAAATCAATAATTGAGTAATTATGATTTTATTTATTTATTTGGTTTATATATATATATATAAATATTGGGTCAATTTAAATCATTAGCCCAATTCACGCTCATATCATTTATTTGAATTTTAGAGAATATGTTAAATTTCATGTATGGAATGTATACACAACAATTGGGTATAAATATTAGTCAGGCACCCTTAGCACCCACCTCCTTCTGCTAATCTTGAAGAAAACGATATAGAACTAGAGATTTTTTTTGAAGGCATTATGGACAAAAGATTTGATGCTGGAAGTTCTTTTTCTAGTATGTCTTTGGCTAGTATATAATCAGGTATCACAAGATCAACTGAAATGCCTACTAAATTACTTAACTATTTTTATCATTAAATGTTAAGGAATGTAGAGTCTGCTGATGTAATATAATTTGATTTACTTGATTTTTAGCGTAGAAAGGAACGAAGATATTCAATTGTTTCCGCGATTGCAAAAGAACTACTAGCACTACAGATTAGCACTATAACTTCGAAGTCTACTTTTAGTGTAGGTAAACAAACTTTGTCCAAGACTAGAAGCCAACTCAAAGAAAATATTTCATAAGCATTAATGTGCTTAAAGAATTGGCAAGACCCTCGTTTTCAAATCCAAAATAAGTATGTCGAAATTGCATGTACCCAGGTAAATGATTTTTGATTTCATCATATAATCAAACTTTGTATTTTCTTATAATATTTTGATTTTTAAAAGAATTGTACCCATAACAAGTTGTTAATATACATGTAACTAGTTGTTCATATACAATTTTAATTTTGTCCACTCGAAAATTAAGTAGTCAATCCCAAATTTGAATAAAGGATGAGGGTTTTCAAATTTTTTTTTTTTTTAAATCATATCTAATTTCAAATCTCAATTCAATTTATTGGTGGTTTATTTTATGTGTGCAAAATAATGTACACAATGTTTGACAAAATCACCACTTGGCAGCCCCCTGTTGCAAGTGCGATTTTGTCAAACTTTTTTTAAAAGGGTTTGTACTTCTAGCATTATTATTTTTTATTTATACATTTTATTTCTACAACTTGTTATGTTTAATATTCATACAATTCAATTATTCAAATCAAATCTCATCAAATCTCTTTTTTAAACCACTCTTGTCTAAATCATCATTCGCTTCCTTGCTCGATATAATATTATCAGTGGATTATTTTATATGTACAAAATCATGTAAAAAATGGATGACAAAATCAACAAGTGGTAGCCCCCTATTTGACGGTGGATGGCCCCACAACTACCACATGTCGATTTTGTCAAATTTTTTGTAGATCTTTTTGTACTTGTAGACTAGTCCATTATCAATGACATCTCCAGCTTTTTGAGAATCGTCCATACAACCATAATCTGGATATTGTTTATAATTTCATTTCAATACTACAATTCATTATCTCTTACTCTTTCCATCATTGATGCATTTTTTTTAAAATAATTAATGAGGAGAGAGACCGTGAATTAGGTCTAAAAAGAAATTATGAACAATATCCAGATTATGATTGTATGAACGTTTTTCATGAAGTGGGAGATGGCATTGATAAAATGAGAAAGCATTTTCACTGTTTTAAAAAATTGAAAATAGAAAACGGCCTGAAAACAGCAAAGAGAACGCATTTTAATTGTTTTGAAAAATTGAAAACAGAAAACGACCTGAAAGCAGCAAAGAGAACAGAGCCTAAGCATCTGAAAACAAAGAATCCATTTCTCTCAAGTCCCGAGTATCGCCCCAGAACTTGAGGAAATGGAATTTTTTTTTCAGATGCCTTAATTTGAAAATAAAAAATTATAAACTTAATAAGTTTTCGTGTACAATTTTAACTCCATCCACTAAAAATTAAATGGTCGATCCTAGGCACGAAGAAAATGAGGAGAGTTTAAAAAAAAGTCAAGTTCATGGGCCGAGCTCAAGCTTGGCTCTTGAAAGCCGAGCCAAGCTCGTGAGTAATAAGAACTTTCATTAATTAAAAATAGGTGGAATAACTATACATTTTTTCTTTCACTATAGTATTTTTCTTTCGCTCAAGTTTTGTACCATAAAATTTTCTTAACAAGTTTCAGTGAGACAAGATTTTACTGTATCAACTTATTATAATTAATTCTGCCTTTTTGCCCCTTCTTTTGGTACTTTTCCAATTGGGGCTTTAATGAGGCAATTAGTTTCTAAGTAGTCATTCAAGTGGAAAAGTTATAAAATAATTAACAATGAATGACTAGTTGGTACTAACTATAAGTTTAGATGGCTTTTCTTGTTATTCTAGAACAATTTTTTTATATATAATTGATCTCGTGCCCCAAGCTGGCAAAATAAAAAAATTTCACTGTGATTTGGTAGAGAGAGTGGGAAGGATAAAAAAATTTCACTACTGATTTGGTGGAGATGATTTCTAAAAGTATGAATCATAAGTAAGATTTTTTTGCCACGTCAGTAGTGGGAAGCTTTTATCCTACATGAGGCTCGCTCATTGTGCATTAATTCATTTCTTGTTATCTCTCCCCATCTTCAGATGATGAAAACAAGATGATTTCCAGATGACGATTTGTGGTAACATTAACTCAATAATATCATATTTTAATATTGAATTCGTTTTGTAAATAAAATTAACTTTTAGATTTTATTGTCTTATATATTTATTAAGCATATTTAAAAAAAAATAATTCATTGATATTTATTTCAATTATGGTACTTTCAAGTCAGATTGTAACTCTTATTAAAATCATATATATAGATGTCCTTGTTATAATTTGAAACATATTTTAGTTTTGACTCTCTTAGTTCTATTCTCTTTTTCTACTATTCACTCATTTATAATAGTTTCTACTTTGTAGATTCTAATAAATTTGAAATTAAAATCATTTTTTGGTATAAATTAACTTATTACTTTTAATGGATATAATGTGTGTTCATTTGGAATTAAACAACTTATTTATTGTATTTCAAAGAGAACATTTGATATTTAATTATTTTTAAATTTTGTTTCCAAACTACAATTTTGGTAGATTCTGACTTTTTAGAATTTGTATTAAGAGATGCTTTGAGTGCAAAGTTAAGGTGAAAAGGGGTTCTTTTAAGTTTGGCCATGTCAAACAACTAATTTTCCACTTTAACTAAAAAAATTTGACATTCACCAAAAAAGTCTATTCTTGTGTAAAAGACAAAAATAACCTTAAATGGTTTATACAATTACAAAAATAGAATTCTCCTTAAGTTAGAAATTAAAAACCAAACACCTCTCAACTGAGATTTGAAAATGAAGTCACTTTTTTCATTAGTTTACTCCAACACGATAAAAACTCTTTCATTTTTCATCTACTTCAACCTCAAAATTTGATAAACTTATCCGTTATCAACCTCAACATAAATATTTCATTAAATTTTAGCACTTCAATTCGGTAAGTATGTTTTCCTAGTATTTAATTTTATTTTTATTGAAGTCGTATATTTTTTCAAATGGTAGAGAAAATAATATTAGAGCCAAAAAGAGTTCAGGTCGGCATTGATAAGGACGTCGAAACTACGGACAGTCCGTAACGGATGGAGATAGGTCCGTCACGAACAGAAATACGTCCGTAACTTACGTTCGTCCATTACAGACCTTTTTTTTCCCTAGCACCCCTATCTTTGATCTAATTTTTTCTAATATTTTTAATTCGTAATGCAGATATGACAAAAGCATGTGTCCCAATTTGTTACTTTGGTAAATTTCAAATGAAAGAAAATAGTTAATGGGAATAGAAATGAACGAGTGACAGAGAAGGGGTTGCTGCTATTTCGATAACAAAAAAACACATTATTTACAGAGATGTACAATGATATACAAAACATGCTTAACGTCGATTCCTCTTAATACGATATGAAATTGGGATTTTTATTTCAAAAGCATTCAACTATTTCGATTCTACCTTTGAAAGTTACTTCTGAAGTGCAAATAAAGCATCTAATTCAATTCAACTTAGGCTGATAATCAACTCCTATTTGTGTAACTTTGTTGAAGAAAAATATCTCCGATGGTGAACACGAAGTTTTCGATGGAGAGGATCGTAACAATAATGATTTTCGGGATACTGTTGAGATTGCTCGTGAGGATGATGTGATTTTTCTTCAGACAGTTGCTACTCGCCATGATGTTGCCGTTGTACACAGAATTTACAAGGAAGTTCAAGAAAACGAGGATAAAAGGCCATTTACAAATCAAGATTTGATTGCTTTATCCAGACAGAGACATGAGTCTGTTGGAAGTTCACATGCTGGGCCGAGTACATGGTCTTCTAGTTGTTCGCGTGTAGTTCCTGATGATGAAGATTTACAAGTCGATCAATTATTTGACATGAAAAGAGATTTGTAGGAAGCTGTGCACCGAATTGCAATGAAACATAATTTTGAGTTTAAGGTAAAATAATCAAACAAGTCTACATACACAATTATTTATGTGGACAACAATTGCAGTTGGCTTTTGAGAGTGACAAAGATGGACACAAATGAGTTCTTTGTAGTTTGCAAGTATGCGCGGGAACATACTTGTGAAGTGGGCATTCGTCAAAATGATCACATGCAAGCTCGATCATGGTTTATAGGTCGATAGATAATGCAAAAGTTTCAGGACCCACAAACGATTTACAGACCTACAGATATCATCAATGACAACCGTAGGGAGTATAGGGTGGTCATGAGCTACCAGAAGGCCTGGAAGGCTAAAGAATGTGCATTGAAGAATTTAATGGGTTCGACCGAGGAGAGTTATGTCAAATTGGCCAAGTATTGCCACAACATGGGGAGAACTAATTCTAACTCGGCATTTTTTATTGAGACCGATGGGCAGAATCACTTCAAGTATTTATTTATGGCTCTTCAACAATGCATTAGAGGTTTTCAAAATACGATGCGACCTTTAATTCTAGTTGATGGTAGAGCCCTAAAAGCTAGATATGAAGGGAAGTTGACTGTTGCTACATATCAAGATGTCAACATTCAAATTTATCCTCTTACATTTGGCATTATTGATGGAGAGATTGATCTAGCAATGCGTTGGTTCTTCACGAAGCTAAGAGAAGTAATTGGGGACATTGAGAACCTTGCATATGTGACTGACCAGGGGTAGTCAATAATAAATGGTATAGTCGAAGTTTTTCCAGAAGCACATCATAGTTATTACTTGTACCACATTCAAGGCAACCTGAAGACTAAGTATCGAGACAGTGGCATCGTTGCATTGTTTAGGAAAGCTGTAGAAGCTTATAGCTTTGAAGAGTTTGTGAAGTTCATGAGTGAAATAGAACATAAATTACAAAGTGCATGGGAATATCTATTAGATATGGGGGTCGAACATTGGGCACGGTCACATTTTACAAGACATTGATACAACATGATGACGTCGAATAATGCGGAGTCGCTCAATGCAATATTCAAGAAGGATCGAAAGTTACCAATTCTCGCAATAATTGAGCATATTCGTAGCAAGTTGCAGTTGTGGTTTTATGATCGACGTGAGGAATCCTAGAATTATACGAGTGTGCTAGCCCCGGCGTAGGAAGATCGACTATTCAAAACTCTGGAGGTGGTGAAAACTCTATTTGTGGAACCACTGAATCAATTTCGCTTCTCCATGAGATGCGGGCATAATGTTGGATACATTGTATACTTGAATGACAATACCTGCACGTATAAACAATTTTAGTTGGAGAGTTTTTCACATGTGAATGCTGTCGCAGTGACTATGTATAAAGGATTTTTACCACACAGCTTGTACAGCCATTATTACATGGCTGATTTTGGGAGAGTAGTGTATGCCAAAACTATATTTCCTCTGCCAAATGAAGCCAAGTGGAAAGTTCCTGATTATATTGCAGCACTTAATAATTTGTTGCCACCCGAAATTCGACCACGTACTCTTGGTCGTAGACGGACGTCTAGAATACCATCTACAGAAGAGTTTCTACAACTGCATAAGTGTGAGAGGTGCGTCGCTACAAGACATACACGCTAATTTTGTACAAGTCAGATCCCACTACATAATGACCCAACAAATGTGTAGTATCTATATAAATCATATGTATTCTCTATTTGTAATATGTTTTTTATTTTCTCAATTTAAATTGGATGTACTCTCTATCACCTTGTTTAATTACTTTTTTAACAGCATATTTGAATAAAAAAAATTAATATTTAAATATTGCGACTTACTAATTGATATATTGCAGCAGTTAGATATTTAATTGTATATGTATATTACGTATTTAATATTCCATCACCTTGTTTAATTACTCGTTTAACCGTCTATTTGAATAAAACAATTAATATTTAAATATTGCAACTTAATAATTGATATATTGAAGCAGTTAAATATTTAATTGTTTATGTATACTATGTATTTAATATTCCATCACCTTGTTTAATTACTCTTTTAACCGCCTATTTGAATAAAACAATTAATATTTAAATATTGTGACTTAATAATTGATATATTGCATCAGTTAAATATTTAATTATTTTTGTATATTACGTATTTAATATTCCATCACCTTGTTTAATTACTCTTTTAACAGCCTATTTGAATAAAACAATTAATATTTAAATATTACGATATTTATGTAAATAAAAATAATAATATTTCATTCGATTTTGTCTTCAAATGTTTCGATAATTAATTATTTTAATTGTTTTGATAATCAATTATTTTAATTATCTTAAAATGTATATTATTTATTTCGTATTTAATTACTCTATTTCGATTATTTATTTGTATAAAAAATAGTAATATTTAATTCAATTTTTCATTTAAGTATTTCTTTAATTAATTATATTAATTGGTTAAGTAAAAAATTAATATTCAATTTAATTTATTCTTTAAATATTTTGTTAATTATCTTAGTACGTATATTATTTATTTCATATTTAATTACACTATTTCAATTATTTATTTGAATAAAAATAATAATATTTCATTCGATCCTTCATTTAAGTATTTCTTTAATTAATTATATTAATTGTTTCCATAATTAATTATTTTTATTATCTTAGTATGTATATTATTTATTTCATATTTAAATATTTTAAAAAATAATATACAATGCACTAAGCAATTAAATATTTAAAAAAATTATTACATTACAACACGAGTCATAATGAAGTCAACTACATTTACATTTTTAATAAAATAATATACAATGCACTAAGGATCACAGTTATATTCATACAAGTCGCAAGCTAATTTATGCCTCCACATATCAATCCAAGACTGATTTATTGTATCAGCATTGCGACCAATGCTCAAAAACTCTATGTATTTTATTGCGAATAAGCCACAGTCGCCCCTGTAATCGAAGAATAATATATTAGTTCAATAACATATAGTTGAAAACTAAATCTTCAAATTAAAAAGTTATAAATCTTTACGATCTTCCTTATCTTGCCGTCGTCATCTTCTGCACAATGGCTAATCTATCATTTACTCGAATCATGGAATGTCTAGCCATCATGGACACGAACACAACAATTGGCTCCAGTATTTGCTCTAGTTGATTTTGTATCAGACAACTATGATTGGAGTTGTACACATACATAATGGAATCAGCAAATACGATCTCTATTGAAAAGCAGTGTGAGTTTGCGACCACTGGAATGTACATATGTGTACAATTCGTCCATGGCTTTTCACGCCTCAGTTATAGGCCAATCACCCACTCCAGCATGTACTCAGACAGAACATATTCATTCCCCTTGCTTAGGAGCTAGTGATGCTCAATATCTACCACACGAACAAACCCAGAGCTCAAGATAACTCGACTAGGATTGTCATAAGATCTCGAGTATCTTTGAGCCTGATCGCGTAATAATTCCATAGCCAAGTCGATATGTTGAAGCAAAAAAATACCAACAGAAAAGATAGAGTCGTTTAAGTAAATAAACCGACAACTTCTATAAACATAATAAATAGAAACTCAAAAAACTTACGTTATCGACGAGCCAAGCTGAGGTTGTCAGTACATCTTCGAACCACTTTTTAGCATTGGGCACGGTTATATAGCCGATGGTATAGCTATCTCTGAAAAATGAAAAAAAAAATGTGACAAAAAATACAAAAAAAGTGTTGCAAAATCATAAAATACTTACTCAGATTTAAGGGATTTGAACCATTCATCGAACGCCTTGTGTCTAATTGGGTCGATGTCATGAAAAAGATTGGGGAACATCCCTTCCATGAACCCTCTTCTCTTCGCCTCGGTTGTGTATGTGGAAACGATGTAATGTGATAGCAATCTCGATCTCTTACTGACCATCAGCTTTGGTTCGTCATTAGCACACTTCTTACCCTTCGGCACCTTTGTCGCCCTTTCCAACATGAAGACTATATCATCATCCGTCATCTCCGGCGTCCTCCGAAACCTCCTCTGCCTCATCCCCCTCTACTACTTTCTCCGGTATCCCCTCCGCTACCTCTTCGCTCATCCCTTCCGGCATCTCCTTCGACACTTTCGACACCTTCATCCTAACCTCCGCCCCCTCTACCCAAGCCTCCTCCGACACCTCCGTCCCGACCTCCACCTCATACATCCCAACCACCGGCACCTCCATCCCGACCCCTTTCGGCACCTCCATCCCAACCTCCACCCCTTCCATTCCGACCTCCGACATCGAATAAAAAACTCATCAATTCTTGCGACCGTTGCCCACCAATCTCCTCGACACTCCCTCCGTCATGTCTACGATTAGAACCTCAAAAGCCTGCTACATCGCCTCGAAGTGCTGCAACCTCAGTATGAAGGTCTCCTATATCTCGTCGCAGCATTCCTATCTCCTCTCGTAATGCTACTACCTCTGTCGTAAAATCCTGTTGCAGCACTCCTATTTTCTCTCGTAGTGCTACTACCTCTGTCGTAAAATCACGTCGCATCGTTCCTAGCTCCTCTCTAATAATACTAGTCATGCGTACAAAGAAATCATCGAAATGATGGGTTTGGCTAGGTACAGCGATCCACGTGGGAGGTCGCTGGGTGCGGGAAACGGAGATGTCCTCGGGGAATGTGATAATGGTGGTAGAGGTGATCTCATCTATGGAGGCAAAGGAGATCTCCTAAGTGGAAGTGATCGTCCTTCTACTGGATGACGCTCCTATACAGAGAAGACAATTAATATTAATAATCCACACATGAATATTATAAGTTGGAATAAATAATGATCTTAAATAAACGTATCCTATTTCTATCCGGAACGGACTCAAACACTAGATCGTTTTCAATAGGTGGAACATGTAATTTACATACATATATTTGATCCTCCTCTTCCTTCGAAGCAACCAACTCAGCATGAACTTTGCGCTGATATATCACATTTCAACGTGTTAATGAGCATGTATCGAGCCGATCAAACATATAATACTCACCTGAGAATCATCGAGGATAGGTATCAAATCTTTAGCCGATGGCTTCTCATGTGCTCGCCAATGAAGCATTTGTAGGCAGCTGGTCTCCCTTCTAATCACCCACTTGCTACCCGAAGTGGGGATAGCCTCGTATGCCCAAAATTGGAAAAATTACAAAAATGTTTTTAATTATAAATTTAATAAAAAAGTTTAACATGCATTACGTTAAGTTGAACATTTACCTGCAAAGCCATGGAAAAGCCATATGCATCATACTTGCGCTCGCCCCTCTTCGATTTTGGCATTGTATGTACCCTCCTGAATACGTGGAGAGTATCGGTGTAACATCTTCGACCCCATGAAAAGATGTTGAAAGCATCGATATCATCAACAACATCAAATGAAAAAAGGTCAATCGATGTCCTACGATGTCGACACCTCAATATACTCTCCAGTATGTACACCAATCCTAACTTCAGCTTGTCTAGCATGTGATTACATCTCCTAAATGCGTCCTCTAACTGTGGGGGTGTAACCGGCCCTTTACCTCCAAAATATAAATCCAATAACTTTTTATTTGGTATAATACGAGCTCTCGCTTCTTCTTCTCCATTACATTTCAAGCTTGTACTGAGGGCAAATTCAAGGATCGAGAATCTCGATATCTTCCCTTCCCCCATAGCAAAATGAAGCTTATCACCATTGACTGGTTTAAGCAGTCGGAGTAATAACGAATCAATAATCTGTCTTGAGAACTGCACGTCCTTCAATGGATAGAATGACCATAAAAACGATCGATGGAGTATGTCGATGTACTCCTCCTCGAGCCCCTCAACCACTGTCCCATAACTGGAAAAGTTACAATACGTCGTAACTTTTTCCAAATGAACTCAGATATCATTGTCCACGTGATATTCCATCCTACAAAAAGAATACATGTTAAAATCATATACAAGAGATTATAAATAAAATATCATATTTTCAAATTTAACGAATTA